ACAGATACTTTTGTATTGCATTAGTTAGTGCAGATATCTCAAAATATGTTTTGTATGTATCCCTAGTACAGTAGTTATTGGTTCTACCACTAAATCTTAATAAATGCATTAACAAGCAAGCTTACATATTACCGTTACAAATTTGATCTTTATAATATTTTGGCAACTTTTTCAATATAATTGGTTTCTTTTGTAATCCTCTATATTTTATTTTATATAATTTCAAACATTTTTCTGAAGAGGGATCCATAGGCTTCACCAGCACACCGGCACACATGAACAAGGACTCCTGGCCTAGAGTCTAGAGTACATTTTTTGAAGATCCTAAATGAAATAAAATCTTATTTTTCTGAGAGTAGATTTTGGAAATGATTAAAAGTCACCTGGAGAGTTAAGTGTGGTAAATAAAATTGGTAACCAAGTTGGGTCAACAAAACAAAGAGAAAGGGCCAATAAAATAAAATATGACTTTCCCTTAAAGTGAATAATTCTCTATCTGTAATATATACATACATCTATACATAAATATATATTTGGGGTTGGGGCTCTACTATGTACAAGTTACTGAGCTAGATCTAGGGATCCAAAAATAAAAAAGACATGGCCTGCCTTTAGACTCTTATGGGGAAGGGGCAAGTGAGGGTTTGTAAGTAGCAGTGACTCTACTCTTATTTTTATAAGCAGGTCATTTTCAGAATAAAAATTCTAGAGCATTTAAAAAATTTACTTTATTATTTTACCTTTTGCTAACTGTAAAGTAAAGTGATTTCTAGAGTCAGGCACTGTTTCGTTTTTGTTTTTGTTTTTGTTTTATTTTGCCATTATAATGCACAGTTTCTGCTTGTGATTATGCCTTAGGAAAGCTGTAAGTGAATTTAGGACTAAGAATTATATCCAAAGGTTCACATCTGTTTTTGCAACTTGGATTTATTTTTTCAGAGTGTGGTTATAATGGAAGTTTGGATTGTCAGACCCCTCACAAAAATCTACTTAGACCCGAATTTGCATGCAATGTAGGATCAACAACATTGTATCCTAAATACAATGCAAAACAGTCCTTCTCTGGATAAATGCATTTCGGTTCTAACCCAGATGCCATTAGTTCACAGCCCCTTTTAATGGGGTGCTCTTGTCAAAGCTAAAATGAGAGCAAGAGAGGTTAGATTCCAGGAGTTTAGCAACTTGTTAGCTCCCGGTAACTACATTAGACAGCCTCCCTCTATGCAAAGATTCCTCTGAGGTACAAAAAGACAAAGGCACAAAGGACAATCTGGCCCATTTCACCTTTCCTACAGTGTGAAACTCTGCAGTGTGGATAGCTTCTAAATAAGTCACTTTACAATTAAGCTCTGTGGTTAATGAAACATGAAAAACAAATAGATCATTAGCACAGAACAATTAAACGCAAAGTTAGCATAATGTAGTTATGTCTTGTGGGGTTAGGGAGGGCCTTCTTTAAAAAGACATCAAAAGCAAAAGCAGTAATGAACAAGAATGATCACTTTGATTATGTCATATTTTAAAATTTCTGTACTAGAAAAGAAATACTGTTTAGAACAAACAGTTCTAAAATGAGCAACAGACTATGAAAAACTATTTGCAGTCCAACAGCAAAGGATTACTGTTCAGAATAGAAAATAAACTATGAATCCATATAAAAAATGACAAAGTAACCCAACAGATGAATGGACAAAAGATCTAAACAGGCAAGTCACAAAAGAAGTTATAAAAATGACCATTATACCTATGAAATAGTACTCAATCTCATTAGTTATCAGGGAAATGAAAATTAAGACAACAAGAAAACGTGACAAGCACGCTATTAAACTGCAGGTGGAACGATATGTTGACACAGCCATCTTGGAGAAGCACCAGTCATGTGTATTAAAAATAAAAATGTACGCCCTAGTGACCAACAATTATTCTCCCAGAGAAATGATTGTGTAAAATACTCAAGGAGGCTTGTACAAGAATACTCTGGAAGAGTGTTTCTTATGGCGAAAAATTGGAGACAGCCTAAATATACATTCATAGGGAAATAGTAAAATAAAAGAAGTATTTTCCTAGTGTGGAACATCATGAAGCCATTAAAAGGAGAGACAGATCTATATGTATCAACATGGATAGAGCTCTAAGATATTGTTACATGAAGAAAATAAAGTTGTAGGGGCACCTAGGTGGCCCTGTCGGTAGGACTTCAGTTCAGGTCATGATCTCATGGTTCTTCAGTTCAAGCCCTGTATCAGGCTCTGTGCTGACAGCTCAGAGCCTGGAGCCTGTTTCTGATTCTGTGTCTCCCTCTCCCTCTGCTCCTACCCCACTCACACTCTGTCTCTCTCTCAAAAATAAATAAACATTAAAAAAAAAGAAAGAAAGAAAATAAAGTTGTAGAACAATATACAGAGTGTGATACTTTTTATGTTACAGTCCACATTTGTGAATATATAGAAGACATTGGGAAAGATTACCTGGAGGCTAAGATGGTAGGGTGGAAGTAATCAAGGACTTCCTATGGTTACTTGTAATATTTAAATTTTTCAAAAGCAAATGTGTTCATGTATTACTTATGCAAGTAAAAACTAATAATATAAAAAACTGTTTTAAGTCATTGAGCTCAGATCAGGACAGCCGCTAAAGTGATAATCACTTCCCTGATATAAAGTACTATCATATTTTGTTTTACTTGAACAGTTATAGGAGAGAGGTTTTCTTTCTTCTTCTCTCAGTTCTTTAGTTTCAGTTTATAATCTAAATCATCTCTTAATGAAGTTAAATTTCTACTAATTGATTCTTCAATCTTTAATAATTTATTGTGATAAGCTTGTTAATCCTACAGTTATTCTTGGAATATAATTTCATTTGGATTCTGTAGAGGTATGCCTTGCTCTTTCCTCTTGTATTAGAAAACCATAATACTTCAGTAGTAGCATTAACTTACCTTTTCCCTCATTTTTTTTTTTTTTTTTTTTTTTTTTTTTTTTTTGCCTTCCATCTTTTTTCCTTCCTGTTATTTAGCAGATATATGGTATGTGTGCACTTACACTTTGTTATCCCCTCAAACCTAATGGAGACTGATTAAGCTTGGAGCTCACTGGCAAAGTGATTTAGGGAGAGGAAGAGTAGGCTACTACTCTTAAAAAGGAGGGAACACTACTTGTTCAGAACACTGAGAAACCAAATGCAGGAAATCTACCAAGGTAATGTTCCTTCCATTTCACAGCTGTCCTTACTTCCCAGTGCTAAAGAGCTTCTAGTCCTTATAAATTTATATGGATTGACCATACTGGCAACAAAACACAGGCAAGCATTAGCAGTTGGCTTACATAGGTTTCAGACATGCTGTGACATGGTCCAAAGAGAAAGCTGCAACACTGGATGTAAGTGTCCTTTATGAGGTCCCTTCTCCCTGCACACAAAAGCCACTGAGTCACAACGCTGGTGTAACAGTGGGAAAAATCTCCTCTGAGAGGTCACTTTGTGTGAGAAGGAACTGGAGGCATTTTAATATTTAGTACACATTATTCAGAAAGTATAACAATTACCACTGTTAGAAGGAGCTGGGTCTACTTTAACTGTCTCCACCAGGCAGGGGCCTCCCAGGGTGGGGAAGAGTACAGAAATAACACTTTGCTTTCAGCTGTTGTTTCAGGATGTTCTTTCAGCTGAAGGCTGGACAGAGGGGGAGGTCTATAAGAGGAGTTAAACTTTAGGGTATGAATGACTGAATTTCCCTCCTTTTTAAGGCGCCCCAGTTTTGGTGAGTGAGGGTAACAGCTGGAGGTGGGGGAAGTGGTCATCAACTTTCCCAAGCTCTAGATCAGCCGACATAAACTGCACCACTCAAGTTCCCTGCTTTCATACCATAGGCAGAGTGATCAAAGTGTGCTTTCTAATCTCTGGTTCTCATTTTTAAAGCAGAAGTTTAAAACAATGAAATCCTCTCTTAGGATTTTGCTTTAAACCCCTAAAGACACGGAGGGTAAAAGTGGCGTGTGACCACTGAGTCAGGGTGGTGTCCAAACTCAGAACTAGGCTGTGAAGCAGGGGCTTTCTGGTGTGGTCATTAATGCCAACCCAGCAGGGAAGAAGCCTGTAATCAGAAAGTTCAAGAAAGACAAGGGGCCCAGCCTCTGTTAGGGCACTTCCTCCCACACTGTTGTTGCTGGCCACCTGGCTTCCTTGAAAACAGTGTAATTTGGTATTTGGAGGCATATGCACTTTCAATGCTATCAGACTTTCTTAAAAGTTATCAGACATTCTTAGTAAAGCACAGCCAAACCAAGCACATATTATATTAAAGAAAAATAAAATGGAAACCAGGTATTTAAATCAGTTTAAAGAAGCTTGTTAAAGAAAACAGGCTGGGTAATGAAAAATCAGTCCTGCTTTTTCAAAGATTTAAGCAGTTAGAATAAGATCCTAAGCTACTCTGGGGCAGCTCTGCCTGGTATCTGATAACACTCCAGCAGGAATTTTGCTTGAGAGTGCTATACTGTCTTCTTGGAAGCCTTATACTGTCTCTGCAACATAAAGGAAACAGCAATTGTGATCACCGGCATTAATAATGTGGCCTCCAGAGCCTGGAATTATCATCTATCTGTCATCTTTCACTCAAAGAGAGAAAACTGGCAGCCACAGCTTGCCATTGAAGTTTCTGGGACTCAAGAAGACAGGAAAGAGCAATATTTATTTCTCAATGTCCAGAGGGAAATTACAAAATTTCAGCGGTATGAAATTAATTAAGTACTTAATTAAGCTTAAGTACTTAATGCAAGAAATTCTTCCCTAGTAGAAGATACCCATACCCATGGTGGGGATAAATTTCTGCTTGAGGGTTAATAGTAAAGACACAGGCTACCCCCTCAGGGTAGGATCCCCAAAATGTGCTCCATCCCCTCCTTGACCTTTATGATAGGAAGCACTGGTTCAGAAAAGCCCTTCCTGCTGTCCTAAAATGCACAATGGCCAACTGTTCCTTGAGATGTTTAAAGAAGGCTCACCTCATTGTCCTGGTGATTAATCTCGCTGAGATTTGACTGTTGCACCAACACTGTTAGGAGCCTGTGAAGAAAAATGGAAGAAGAGGCTCAAAAGAACAGAATGTGTATGAGAACATAACATTATAAGTACAGTCCACCGAAGGCCTCCAAGTGAAGATGAGCCCTTTCTGTTTATTGAGGGGGAAAGATCCATAGAAAAGAAGACAGTGTGATTGGTAATAAGGCACCTGAGGGGATTCCTCTGTCTCTTCTCGTCCCACCTCCTCTCCATCTTGGTGCTCTGGAGATGGGGACAGGGACAAAGGGAATGGAGAAAGTGAATCTGTAGGCTCATCTTCTTCACCAGACCTGTGTTCTTATGTGTGCACTTTAAGAACTAAATTCCTCTAGGGGTGCCTGGGTGGCTCAGTCTGCCTTCGGCTCAGGTCATGATCTCACAGTTTGTGGGTTTGAGCCCCGCGTCGGGCCCTGTGCTGACAGCTCGGAGCCTGGAGCCTGCTTCAGATTCTGTGTTTCCCTCTCTCTCTGCCACTCCCCCACTCACACAGTCTCTATCTCTCAAAAATGAGTAAACGTTAAAAAAAAAAAAAAAGAACTAAATTCCTCTAGCACTTATTCTTCATTCTTTTACATGAACATATGCAGTGGTTTCAAATTGCTTCACCACTTGGTACATGTGTCACACCTTGTAAGTGTATATAGATTATGCTAGGAGACAGCATTTACGACTTTGCTTATTTTTTTGAAAACATGCAAATGTCTAGGCATGAAATGACAGTAATCAGTGTGAAAAAACTATCAGTGATTCTCAAGCTCAAGTTTTTATCTCACTTGGGTCCCACACTTGGTTGACTGAGGTCTACATTGTGGGAGAGAAGCAGTTGATTGTAGTTGGTAGGGACCCAGAATCTGGAGCCAGACCACCTGGGTTCACATCCCAGCCCAGCTGCTCGCCAGCTTTATGACTGAAGGCAAGTAACAACCTCTCTGTGCCTAAGCTTCCTCATCTATAAAATGGGGGTAAAAAAAGTGCCTACCTTACAGCTCAGTGTGAGGTTAAATGAGTTAATGCATACAGCACTTATAGCATGACTGGAACACAGCAAGTGTTATTTCTAGAACACTTAACGCTAGAAGTTTTAAACCCTGGCTCAAATCTCAGAATCCCCAGGGGAAATTTTTTAAAACCACAAATACCTGGATTCTGTATTCAGTATTTCTGACTTCGTAGGTCTGGAGAGAAGCTCAGCTTTCACAGTTTAAAAGGGTTGCTCAGGAAATTCTGGCAAACAGGTCTGAAAACCACTGAGACAGGTACTGAATAAATTAACCAATTGATACTCATTGCTGTGAACTGACTGTGTTCCTCCTGCCGCAAATTCATTCGGTTCTAACCTCCAGTTCCTCAGAACGTGACTATATTTGGAGATTGAGCCTTTAAAGAGGTAATTAAGTTAAAATGAAGCCATTAGGCCAGGCCCTAATCCAATCTGACTGATGTTCTCAGAAGAGATTAGGGCCCACCAGCAGCATGGATTGCAGAGGAGAGACCACGTAAAAAGGCAGCAAGTGGCTGGCCATCTGCCAACCAAGGACAGAAGCCTCAGAAGAAACCACCTGCTGCCACCTTGCTTGTGAACTTCTACCCTTCAGAAATTCGAAAAAATAAATTTCTGTTGCTTAAGCCATCCATTATGTGGGTATTTTGTTACAGCAGCCCTAGCAAACTAATACAGTCATGAAGATGACAAAGGATTGTCAATGGGGAGACCATTCAGATAATTCAGACAATTTCTGAAGGAAATGCAGAAACTATTTTTGGAAGAATTACTTGAAAAAAATCAAATGGTTTAGCCTTTTCCCCAGTCAGATTTTCATTGTCTTTTATTTTAGATGACATTTAGTCTTGAGTCTTAAATTGCTACCTACAATCGAATAAAAGAAAGTGGGACTCATCATGTTGCATTAGTGGTAAATGTAACACAGAGAGAGCTTAAATAGGGATGCATTTCTGGTTATTTGCTGTGGAGATGAAATAGCCAGGAAGCCTAAGGTTTAAATCTAGTCTTACCTCTTTTGGGGAGCCAGGATAATGCTGTGATTTAATTCTGCCCTCCCTGCTGCATGACCTCTCTGAGCTTCTGTATCCTCACGTTTATCATCGGGATAATAACAGTGGTGGTGTAAAGACTGAATAACTTAGTAGGTATAAAGCTCCTAGTACACAGACTTTAAAAGAACAGTGGCACTGAATGCAAGCTTTCTGAATTCTAAAATTTCTCCACCTAGTGGGAAGAGGCTATAATAATTGCATTTTTGGATAACACTTTTTATCTTTGTAACTATATTTCACTACTGGATTTTCCCCTTGTAATTGCTTTAGAAGGCTGGAGGGCAACTGGTGACTTTCTTTTCTCTTTACTGGCCATTGCTTAGTCTCTAGGGTTCATTTGGTCTGAGTTGTGGGGAGAGAGTGGGAAAGAAAGGCAAGAGGTCAGCTGTGGTCCAATCTGGTTATCCTTGGCCAACCCGAAGGAGACTGAGATCATACATAGCCAGACAGGATCTTCTGGGACTGCTCCAGAGCAGTGATCACACTGAAGGAAGTCAGGCTTTGACTTGATGGGAATGAGGGAGGGGAGAGCATGACCTCCTGTCACATCCTGGTGGTGGGGGTATTCCAAAGGTCATGGGATGAATCCTGTCTCTGGATATTTTTCTATTTGCCCCTCAAATCCATTTGCTGCCCTGCAATGTCCTGCTCCGAGGTTGACCTGCAATAACTTTATCATCCAACTTCCTTTGCCCTCTGACTGCTTTCTGGGTTTGGCCAGGAGAACTGGCAGGAGAAAGGAGAGAAGCCACTTCCCTTTCTGTCAATGACTTTTCCCCCTTACCAAAGGCCACAGCTCCTGCCTAGTGGGTCCTCTTCTACAGCCAGAACCCTGAAGAGGTTCCAGTAACAGCTTCATTCCTTGATCCTTTTGGCCTAGTTGTGGAATACTTTCCTGCTTTTTTGGGGAAAGTGGAGGTGGGGAATTATGTCACCATCTCTTGCTAGTTAATTTTAAATAGTCTTCCATTAAACTTTGTTCAGTTACCTTTTAATATTCTGTGACCTCCTTATTGTGACCCTGATTGATACATGCCAACCTATATTGCTTGATTCCATTTGATTCCTAAGTGTCTCAGATTCAATAATCTCCAAAGATGGAAACAAATTTATAGATAAGTATTCTCTCTCTCTCTCTCTCTCTCTCTCCCTTTGTGAGAGCAAACGATCTTGCTCTCAGGGCCATCATACATTGCCTTGGTGGTAATTAAGACTGGACTAGAGAGCAGGTGTTTGGTTTCAAGCCTGGGGCTTCCATGCTGTTCCATGGTACAGGGGAATCTGCCAGGTGCTTGTCTCACATCTGTCTTAATTACCAGAGGATTTGAAGACCCCTTAGTTTTGTTTTCTCAGAGCCCTCGTTCTGTGCTAAGGTAGCTTAGAAGTATTCCTCCCAAGATCCCCAGCCCAGTCTCTTATTAGCACCAGCTCTGTCCTGTTCTCAGCTCTCTAAGAAGCCACACAAAGCCCACCTTATCCCAGGTAGCAGGATACCAGGCACAGAGGCCCAGAAGGAACATTCTCAGATAGGCAGCATGATGAGTGGTAAGAAAACAGGTGCTGGGGCCAGACTGCCTCCATTAGAATCCCTGCTCCATTACCAACCAGCCAGTAACCCTACACAGGCTATAAAACTCTCAGTACCCATATTTTCTTATCTGTGAAATAGAAATGATATTAACACCTCCTTCTTAAAGATCTGTTGTGATTTTAAATGACTCAGTGCATATGAAACACTTAGAATGACATTTACATGCCAATGAATATTCTGTATAATTTAATAAAGTTTTTAAAAGCTCTTGCTCTTTATATTTTGGGATCCCCTGATCTCAAAGATCAGGGAGAGATCAGCTAGATGTATACTGGGGGGGTACCTTGTTTCTGTGGGCTTTATTTTGCTGACCCCTTGGACTCACAGCTCTGAATCTGTCCAGCACAGTGATGGTTGGGGAAAAGGGTCCCTAAGCCACCTGTCTGCCCTCCTGTTCCTGAAGCTGCTGATGTGAGAGTATCCTGAAGTATATCATCCCCCCACAGGTTAGAATGCATCACCTGGTAATGCGAGAACAGGACCCCAAAGAAATAATTTCCTTCCTCCCTCTATCTGTCATCAAGAGTCATGAAAAGAGGCAGAGCTGCTGGCACTCTGGCAGGGAAAAAAAGAATCTGCCAGTAACCATGGAGACCATGAAAAAGACCTCCAGAGAGCCCTGTGGCTGCTTTCAGAGGAAATCGCTGTTTGCCTTCCAATGCTTGCATGTGTAGCGTTGTACAAACACAACTCCTTTCTCTTTGGAGCTTCCTCTTAATGATCATGCCCCCTCTTTCACACTGGCGCCCTCTGAATGTCCTAGAAGCAAGAAAAGCCCTAGGGAGCTGAAAGGGAGAAAACTTGGACCTGCTGAGAAGCTCAGGGTTCAAAGCAGGAAAGGGACTCGTGAGATGAAACCTGCATTTCTTTGCTTTTGTCCATCCAACTTGCTATCGTGTTCATGATTATAAATCCCTTATTCTTGCATCAGCTTAAATCCCCACTGAGCTGCAGCTTAGCTAAGGCTGTACACTGGAACTGGCTGGTTTGTTCATGAGTTGTTTGCATCACAGAACCTTGCTGGAGGGCTAATTGAGGTGTCCCCTTGGCTTGTTTACAAGCAGCTACAATTTGAGGCTTCATTCTAAGTAACCTCTAGTTGAGCACTGAGTGGAAGGAGCATGCTTAGATTTGGAAATCTAAGTATTAGTAGATTTTAAAGTGAGTATGAATACCTGAGTACAAGGACATAATGTGGCCCATATATGTGTTTAGGATTAGGGGACAAATAGAGATGAATGTACACTAACAAAGGTAAGGAAGGGAGTTTCAGGGAAGCTGAATGGTTGAATTTGATGCTCATTGGATTCTAAAGCCTAGTAATGCTCTTATAGGGGCCAAGGGCAGGCCACCCTAAGATGGGCCACTTTGGCAAGGACATTACTTTGAGTTAAAAGCAATCAAAACCCAGTTGATTCAGGGGCGCCTGGGTGGCTCATTTGGTTAAGCATCTGACTTCAGCTCAGGTCATTATCTCAATATTTGTGGGTTTGAGCCCCACATCTGAGCCTGCTTCAGATCCTGTCTCTCTCTCTCTGCCCCTCCCCTGTTCATGCTCTGTCTCTTTCAAACATAAACATTAAAAAAAAAAATTAAAAAAAAAAAAAGCCAGTAGATTCAGAGAACACTCTTTAGCTCCCCCTCAATTGCTTGCCTGTACCAGAAAGAGAGCTATTAATAGAGATTCCCTTTCACTTAACAAACTTACCTGCCTAATAGGGCAATCTTTGTTTTCCAAACATTTCCTCTTAACTTCCTCCTAATGGAATTCTCCCCTTTGTATCCTCAGACCCCAACACCTCTCCTTAGCTCTTCTATATTCCCTTAGTCAGTTGCCTGTCTTTGGAATTTCCATGTCTGTGTGGATTCCCTGTACATAGGCTACTAAATTTGATTTTTTTTTCTGTTAATCTGTCTCATGTCAGTTTGATTCTTAGTCCAGTTAGAAGGATCTTGAAGGATGGAAGAAATTCTTCCTCCCCCACACACCTGTATGTGAATATATGTTTTGTGGACCTGTGTGTGCTAAGGTGAAGAAGGCTGGAGTGAGAGCTGGTGGGGTGGCAGCAGCAGGGATTCATTCTTTAGCACTGATCTATGGTATTTCTTTATTTCTGTCTATCTCCTATTGTGATTATCACCCCGTCATCACCATCATCAATACTTACCGAACACTGACAATGGACAGTGGTCAGTGTTTTTTTACATATTTTCTCATTTATTTCTGCCGATTTACCATGAAATAAATACTGTATTATTCCTACTTTCTAGGAAAGAAAGCTAGCTGAGTCTTGACAAGTTAACTTTGTCCAAGATAATATGGTTACTAAGAGATGGACCAGATTCAAACCTGGTCAGTCTGACTCCAGAGCTGGCAGTCCTGACCATCCTTTACCTCAATCCAAAAGGGATATTAGGTGGTTTTTAGATACATATAGTAAAACAAGATTACAAGTGAAGAAACTAGTCCAAGAGAAAATAAGGGCAGGGTAAATAAGATGCAGTTATGGTCCTACACGTGTGCCAGAGGTGGGACACAAACTGGGGTTTGGGTTTTTTAAACATACAGAGAGAAATCATAGGTCACAGGGTCCACAGAGTAAAAATAAATAATTTATCAGGAGAAACACAGCAATTCTTCCTTTAGTAGAATTTTTTTGTGTGTGGTTTCTCATTTTTTAGATGCTATAACAAAGTATTTCCTGACAATGAAACAATAAGGAGTTTTGTAAAGCTTCTTAGGGTAGGGCTTAATGACAGACTGTGGCCATTAAAGTACATCCTACAGGGTCCACAGTAGTGGATCCTAGGAACAGAGTAGGCACACGGGCAGGTTACTTAGCCTCGCACATGCACTAGGCAATTAATTATCTTCTTAGTGCCTCAGCTTTCTTATCCATAAAATGGGGAGAGAAATATTACCTATCACATAAAGGTGTGGTCAAGATTAGATGAGATAGTACATGGAAAGCACTCAGAACTTTGCTCAGAACATGGTAAATAATCAGTGCTCTTTGTCTTTCTTTTCCTTATCATTGTAAATGCAGACCTATAGGCTTCAGTGGTTAGCCAAATCGGCTTACAGTTGTGTCCACTTAGGAAAATTAAGCAAACAGGTTTGCATGGCCTAATGGAAGGTCGCTCCTGCATTATGGTTGTAGGATTAGGAAGTACCCACAAGCCAAACTATATATATATATATTTTTTTTTTTCAGAAAACAATTATGACTTCATGCTGATACATAAACAAATGGATGATAGAAGGCCAACTTTTGTGCCATAGGACATCGCTTGGCTACTTTCTGCTTGAAACACTGAATGCAGATGCTATCAAACACTGCCATGGTCATAAAATTTCTCATAAACCAATGATAAAATATCTAATTTTAAGCAATGTAATGCCATAGGGAATTTTTTAAGGCAAGCTAGTTTCTAAATGTTCTCTAGGTAACAAAGCCAGTTGCTTTGCTACATGGGTTGTTAAGGTTTCACACGATTCATTTTTGGAGAACATTTACCAGAAATGATTTTGGTTTTGGAATAGTTAATCTTAATCTTTGGGTTTTCCTAGTTGCCACAGCTAGTATTATCATAAATAAAGGAGGATTTTATCTTCCAGAATCAGCTAAATGTCCATTTAGGACAATAAAACCATATCATCAGGACACAGAAGGATGTTTATTTTTCTGGCTTTAGCTTTTCTGAAGGTGGTGGCTGGGTCACTAGGTATAATTTCAAGAAAAGGGGAAACCACAACTCTGTGTTATCTCAGTTATAGTGATGTAATGTACATCCTACAGAGTCTAGGGACACTGCTGGGCATAATATGAAATAGACTAATATGTCCACAGAAGAGGAAATACAGTTGGATTGGTTTTTAATTTATCACTGTAGTGATTTGAAATGATGAGCCTAATCAATTGGCCAAATTAACATCAAGCATGCTTTTGACTGAGAAGTCTTAGTTCACCCCTCAGGTGCAATGGCCTGATGACAGAGACAGCTTTTCAGCAAAATTCATGAACCCTTTTCTTAGGTTGGAGTCATGGTTGGGAGGTGGATTCCATATTCCCAAGTACTCCTTAAACACAAGGTGGTACATGACCAGTGTGGTAAATGACTAGTCCTTATTAAAAGAATGTGAGCAGAAGTGAATTGAATCAAAAGCTGAGATTTTAAAGAAATAAGGTGGGGAGACTTCTTCATACTACTCTTTCCCCATCCCCAGACTGAACAAAGAGAAGCCACAAGATGGAAGAAACTTAGGTCTCTGAGTTACCATATGGAGGGGAGCCACCCTCCAATCCAGGAACACCTAAGTGGGACAAAGCTTTTATTGTGTTAAAAAACTGAAGCTTTGGGTTTTATTTGTTACAAAAGTTATAATCACCATAATAAAAGCCGGTATTTACCTTCCAGAATCAGGCAGATTTTGAAATGACCACTCAGTGAGGCTGGTAAACCAAGTAGAGTAAATCAAGGTAGAATAGTCTTAAAGGTACATTTTAAACATATATTTGGAACATTATTCTTGGGATAACAGTATGATTTTGTGACTAAATATTTTTGTGGGTTGTCTAGAAAAGTCATTCTTTCTTTATCCCAATTCATCAAAAGGGAGTCATCTCTTTATGATGTCTATTGATTGTTAGCTCTGAGCTTGCTGTTTCTTCTCTAAACTTCCTTGTTTTGTTGGGCTTTGAGTAAATCCTAGTTTTCTATTATTCCTGGATATAATCCAATGATAATAAGAGGCAATGCTTGGTTGGGAATAGTTCTGGAATTTCCCAAACCCTTTTGGTGTAAAACAGAATGAAATGAAGAAATCCTGTTACCTCTCAACCTGGAAGAGGCCTTGGTCTCATGAACCCCCTCAGAGCCCCTCATGTTAGTTCTGAATTCAGGGTCTAGAGGATGAGGCTCCCAGATGATGAGGCACACCCTGTGGCGCTGGCCTGTGCCTAGCTCTGGGGAATGCTAAATTCCTGTCAGAGGCATGTTCTGTGCTAGGGAGGTTAAGGAAGTGCCCAGAATGTTGCTGATACCACACTGGGAAATGCTATTATTGGCTGCTCCAAGGGGCTTTCAAAAGATTGGACACCAAGGACTTTTAGACACAGAGGATTGGGGAAGCTACACTTGGTCTGGACAAAACTTTTTCCTTTGTTGCTCAATTGTCTTACAAAAATGTGACCTTCTTGATCATCCAACTTATTTGTGTATATTTCTTCACACAGCTCCCAGAAGCTCACAGACCTGCCTGGTTTTCCTTCTAACCCACTGGTTCCCCTGTCTCACTCCTTTACTGAGTCCCTTGCCTCCTTCCAACCCATAAATGTTGGCGTGACTCTGACTTGAGACATTAATCTTTCTGCCCAGTCAGTGCTCTTCCCCTCCCCTCCCCACTATTTGAAATTATCCTATTTATTTTAAAATTACCCTATTTATTTGTTTACTAGAGTGCTGCTTAGCTCCTTCACTAGAATGTAACCTCTGTGAGGTCAGAGACGCTGTTGTGCTTACTGGCAACCACTGGGGCCTAGAGGAGCACTTGGTCCATGATAAGCACTCGACAGTGACTGAATCAATAAATGACTAATTGAATGGATGAATATATGAATTCAGATGATGAAAAATAGCATTTCTTTTTTTTTTTTTTTTTAATTTTTTTTTTTCAACGTTTATTTATTTTTGGGACAGAGAGAGACAGAGCATGAACGGGGGAGGGGCAGAGAGAGAGGGAGACACAGAATTGGAAACAGGCTCCAGGCTCTGAGCCATCAGCCCAGAGCCCGACGCGGGGCTCGAACTCCCGGACCGCGAGATCGTGACCTGGCTGAAGTCGGACGCTTAACCGACTGCTCCACCCAGGCGCCCCGAAAAATAGCATTTCTTAAATCAGAGTGTAGGAGAAAGGGTTTTTCTTTTTAATTTATTAAACAGGAGAGGAATGAGATTAGACTTTAAGATTCTTCTAGGATTTTGATTCACTGAGATGAGGTCCTATCTGCTGCAATGTAAAAAAAAATGGATGGGCTCTTCCTTTATTCACCTCAGAGGGTTAATTAGGTGACCTTCTAATCCAAGTTAAGTCTCTCCAAATGTGAGGATTGTGTGAACCTGGCTACTTACCTCACATCGGGCTCAGCAGTGGCAGCATGCAGTGGCAGACGGCCATTTTTATCCGGGATATTGTGCTTGGCACCATTCCTGAGCAGACTCACACAACCTTCTAGCCAACCCTGAAATATAAGAGCAACTGTGTCATTATATAACACAGCCTGGTATAACAGACCAACAAACTCTCTCCAGTTTTCTTTCTCTTTTTTCTTTGGTGTGGCTATAAATATGTTTTGTTTGATTTGAAGTGGTTAAGGATTACAACCTCAACTTCAGCGGAAAGCTGCAGACCTTGACATATGGGTTCCTGAGTATTCTGGAGGACCTTTACCCTGTTGGGTATAGATGGATTCCTAGACTCTCTCTTCTGTCTCCCATTCCCCATTTCTTACTTGCTGATATTCCACTTTTATACGCAGTTCCTAGGGATCAATATGGCATGTGGTAGTTCTAACCTCGCATTCTGTAGGCTTAGCTTCAAATCATGCTTGTCAGTGGTCTGACGTGGGTGCCATGGTCCAATTCCAAAAACTGTACTCCTATATCATTCTTGAGCCCCAGCCTCCACTCTGTGCCTCAGTTTATCTATATCTGATAAACAGGCTTTGGTCCTCTTTTCCAAGTTCTCTTTCTAGTAACCACAAGTATAATATTTTTCTTATTCTAGTCAGTCTCCCTCCCAATGTCTAGAATCCTAGTCTAAGCCATAATCCAATGGCTGGGACCCTGCCATCTTGTTGACTGATATGTCTGATGCTGAATATGGGGGTATCACCAGGACCCTCTAAGTGTTCCCTGTTGCTGGGCTTCACCCACTATGAATTCCCTAAGAAACTTTGTGTGAACTCCCTGCTGCCCACTAATTCTCCAGATTGAGAGTGGCATTGCTACATCTCATGCTTGTCCCCTTCTTGGTTAGCACTTACAGCTGGGTCATTTCCCCACTATCTCTCATTTCAAAGGGCAGATATAATCACAGGCTAGTCCTCCCTCCCTTTCTGTTCTCTGCTCCTTTAAGTAACTGACCCAGCCCTACTGATAACCAAGTTTGGCCAAGCAGAATGCTTCCTACATTCATCCAGAACCATTGGGGTTACTCCTTCAGTTATAATTAGATATATAAGTAGATGAAACAATTATTACAAAGAATAATATATATGATAACTCTCTGTCCTGCCTTCATTCCTTTATAGCTAAACTTCAAGACTACCCCATCAGAAGAGAAAAATGACTGAAGATTTCCTCTCACAATACTGGAAGCAATGGGGGGCTCCTGGGTGGCTCAGTCAGTTAAGTGTCCAGCTTCAGCTCAGGTCATGATCTCACCGTTTGTGAATTCAAGCCCCGTGTTGGGCTCTGTGCTGACAGCTCTGAGCCTGAAGCCTGCTTGGGATTCTGTGTCTCCCTTCTCTGTTTGCCCCTCCCTCAATCACACTCTGTCTCTTTCTCTCAAAAATGAATACACATTAAAAAATAAAAAATAAAAAAATACTGAAAGCAATGAAAATCAAAATGTTACTAAATGAATGGAGAAGAAAGATAATAACAAAAGAACTTTTTGGTTCTGGAAAGTCTGGAAAAAATCTTTTAATAAAAGCACATTCGTAGGTTATAATATTGAATATGGTTTTGAATTGACCAATAATATATAAGTCTTAAGTAGAAGCAAATGTTTTTCAGTCTTAAGTTATAATTTACTAATGTATTAAATCTGGTTTTAGTTTCTAATGTCCAAGTCATCAAGATCTCTGATTAAAAGGAAAAAATATGACAAAGAAACCCAAAAGAAAGGCATGCTGAACAAATTTTAGAGTTGCCTAAGTTTTACACTTATTGAAAAACAAATCTCCTGATGGGGGAGGGTTTGAAACATTTTTATCATCTTGCAACATTTCCTGGAACTATGCGTATGTGGTTTTCTTTTTTTCTTCAGAAAAGAAATCAGAAAAATCACTGAATACACTTGAAACCAGTGGTCACTATTCAGAATCAACAAGCACATTTTTTTATTTACTATGGGCTGGATGATTCCGCATGTGTTTCTCCTTCAATTGTGATAAGTGTAGGATATTATTTCCACTACATTTTACAAATGAGGAAGGAGACACAAAATGGTGAGGTGATGTGTCTAAGGTTACACATCCATGGTAAGTGTATGTGTATACTGAGTTTGGAGCTGTGATGGACACTAAGTTGCTAAGTACGCCCTTTGCCAAGTTTCTCTTCAATACTTGAATTCAAACATTGCCAGAAGGGGTTGGTGGGCTCCACAGTGCAATCCCCAGGACCACCCACCCCCTTCTCAGGGAACCTCAGAAGGAATAGGGAGGGGTCCTTGCTTGGGTTGCCACAAAGAAGTGGGGGCATCAATAAGAGGGTGATGCCACATGCTGTCATGCAAGCATGCTTCCTTCATGTAGCTCCTTTGAATGCATTCCTAGAAAGACTTGTCTGCAAAGGTGGCACCTCTCTAGGCTCACTATTCACTGTGATCTACAGGATACTTGCTGTAAAAAGCCATAGCAGGAGCAATTATTAAGACATGTGCAAAAGGGAAGGGGCCTGGGAGGGCATTCCTGTGTCTCTCAGAGATATGACACTTCACCTACTAGTCATAGACCAATGGTTTTCAAACTTGGGTGGGTATAAAAATTGCCCAGGAGGTTTGTCTGCATAGACATCTCCTTCCCATCCACTACCCTGTCTGCTCCCAGTGTGTGACTCAGGAGGGCTAGTGTGTATTCCTGGAAAGTACATTTGAAACAAGTATTCCAACACTTCAAAAAAATTCTTTCCAGTTTAAATCTAAGTCCTAGAGAAAGAGGGCATGCAAATAGAAATAGGAAAAGTAGTTGCTAAAAAAAAAAAAAAAAAATCTCTGTGATAATTGGGCAATGCCTCATGCAATCTATGTTAGATTGTGGCAGGAAGGTGTGGTATTTGGGAAAGGGAAGAGTCCTATTTCAGCAAGGCAGTTTCAGGACACCGCGGGGCTTGCCCAGGATGAATCCACCACTGTCAGTGGGCAGCAAGAGCAAATCCAAGAATCTGCTTTGGCTGCAACAGTAGTTATGGTGAAGATTTCTGGGAGCCTCATTAGAGGTGAAGGAGAATGATGACCCACATGTGGCACTAAGAAGAACTTGCTTGACATAGACTCAAAGTAGCTCTGGGGTTTCCTAGAAGGAATGCAGGGAGGATTTGAAAAGAGAGGGGCTTGAACGTTTTCAGTAAGGCTTACCAAGCTTACCCAATGTTGGGAAATGCTAAACTGAAATCTCTTAATGAGGACTGGCTCTATACAATTTTTATTTATTTATTTATTTATTTATTTATTTATTTGTTTGTTTGTTTATTTGTTTGTTTATTTATTTAGAGAGACAGAGAGGAGGTAGGGGGAGGGGCACAGAGAGAGGGAGAGAGAGGATCCCAAGCAGGCTCAATGCTGTCAGCACAGAGTCTGACACAGGGCTTTAACTCACAAACCATGAGAACATGACCTGAGCTGAAATCAAGAGTCAGACGCTTAACCGACTGAGCCACCCAGGTGCCCCAACAATTTTTAAATTGAGTACTGATTGTGGGTTGAGTCCTATGCTTGGTATTGCCCCTGAATAATCTGGTATTTCTCCCCTACTCCTACCCCTGACATTTCCCAGCATTCCCCATATTTCTCATCCTCTAGCTTCCACTTAGCTGATCCTACCCCACAATGTTACCTGCAGCTTCAAATGCTACCACCCACTCAGGGTATTAATGGAGTGGGTTCTTAAAAAGAGTACCAAGTAAGTCCAGAAATGCTGCAAGGCAAATTCTGCTGTTAAAATGGAAAATAATAATTTTTCTTTTAAAAAAATGTTTATTTACTTATTTTGAGAGAGATGGGGGGAGAAAGAATGGGGGAAGGGGCAGAGAGAGAGGGGAGAGAGAATCCCAAGCAGACTCTGCACTGTCAGCGTGAAGCCAGATGTGGGGCTTGATCCCACGAACTGTGAGATCTTGACCTGAGCTGAAATCAAGAGTCACATGCCTAACTGACTGGGCCATCCAGGTACCTCAATAATATTTTTCTAATGGCAAAATCACCTCTATCTTAGAAGATTGTTAGGAAGATCCAAAATGTCTTAGATCCACAAAAATAGCTCTTAGTAGTGCTACAAGTGTCAGAGATGATGGGAGCAAAGCTTCAAGTTTTATTTCCATTAGCATAAGTCCAAGAATACTTTTCTGCAAGGGGACACCATAACAACACACTAAGCCCTCCCCACTCCTTGACAGACACCACAGACATAATCAGTACCAGATAGGTTGCCAGGCATAGACTTGTGCGGCCATAAGCATCCTGCATGTTAATATTGGCCCCCATCTTCAACAACAGCTTCACTGTGTCCACTTGACGTCCAGAAACTGCATGCATCAAGGGTGTACATCCTGGAATGAGACATTTCAACAGTCTTTATAAAAATCTTTGACTTCTGAAATTTATCAGCAGGCTTTATTTGCCTGTTCACTTATTATGCTCTTTGCAAATAAAGGAACTGGCCACAACACAAATTCAGCTGTTGAACTATATGAGACTGAAGAGAAATGAAGATGATTGTTGCTACATTTATGTAAACTATGTATTTTCTTTCTGGCTGTATTAAATCTTCTGTAATTTTGCAGTAATTCATTGATTAAAACAATTTGTGCCAATGATTAAAAAATCCTCATTACTACCATGAGAATCAGCACCATTTAGGACATGACAGGTTTTTCCTAACCTGGTTTGAACAATGTAGAATCTGGAAGTGTCTGGAAGGCAACTCCAGCCAGGCAGACAGGTGCAGCATATTTTTATTAGAGATGGTAGATGATAAAGGGCAGTGATGGTTGCCTAGCCTTGGGTTACACACATTCTTAAGAAAAGGGTCCACCTTAATTGAAACACATCTCTGTTTTGGTTAGTAATATAGGCCAAGGCATCTAGTTCTTTGTGGGTTTTCTTTCTGAAGAAAAACAGATGAAATTACACATTCTGATTAACTCGTAGACCTGTTGGAACAAGCCAGCCTGGTGAGGCAGAATCCAGGTGCTTCACACTCTTCAGGTGAAGAAATGAAACCTCGGACACAATTCTTTGCCAAGCTGAGACTTGTTTACATGATTTTCATTGATAACATATTCTTAGAGTGCACTGCAAGGTACTCGAAATGGACAAATTGTGGGGCTGCTGTTCTCATTGCAAGATTACAGCTGGCAACCCAGTTTCTCTACAAATCTCTCCTTTCTAAAACTCGTTGGGTAAAAGCAGCAATGAAGCACTATGTCTTGAATAGTGGCAACAGTTCCTTCTTTATTTCTTCCTCTCTCTCTTCTCTCCTTCCTTCCCTCCTTCCATCTCTCCCTCCCTCCCTCCCTCTTTCTTTCTTTGTTTTCGAGGGTGTTGAATTGCTCTAGCACCATTTGTTGAAGAGGCTTTCTTCCACTGAATTACATTTGCCCCTTTGTCAGAGATCAGTTGAGTATATTTGTGTGAGTCTATTTCTGAATTCTTTGTTCTTTTCCATTAATCTATGTCTGTCCCTCAGCCATTACCACATAGTCTTGATTTCTGTAGCCACATAATAGGTCTTGAATTTTGGAAGACTGGTTCCTCCCAGTTTATTCTTTTTTTTTTTTTTTTTTTT